TGGTGAGGGGAGTTTTTTTAGGAGTGGCTTAGATTTTTCAGTCAGGTGTTCCTGATTCCTGTTTGCTATTTTTGGCCCAGTTTCCAAGGTTCTTCAACCGTTGGGTTTTTCCAGCCTTTCCCCAGTCACACTACTTGTGGCCTTTTCCTGCTGCACCCCTCAGTGAGCTATAAGGCACTGCAGGCCGCACAGAGCTGGTGATGAGCTGCTGTGCTGCAGAGGGCTCCTGCTCTTGTTTATTGCTGACAGTTCACCCCTAAGACGTGGACAACTTGTTAAACTGAGTTTTTGCTCAGGTCATGGCTCCTTTTAGTGAGGTCAGCTTGTAGTCGAGTTTTCATAGATATGAGTTCCCCATATTCTCTGCTTTGAGGAGAAATCTCATAATACAGCCAGAATCATGGGGCCACCAGGATCAAACTGGGCTCGGAGCCATGTGAAACAGCACTGTCTTTTGTGAAGAAACTCCTCTTTGGATTAGTCCCACTGATTCCTTTTGTGCATCTAGCCTGGAATGGAAAAGGAAAACAGGCCAGCTTCCCATAGAGGGCTCCAGCAGTGGGAAAGACTGGCCCGGCTTTTCTGCAGAGGGAGTGGAAAATGGGTGGTTCCTCTTTATTCCTTTATCTTAGAGGAGAGACAGGTCAAATTGTGGGGACTTCCCCACATCTGGATATCATTGTGTTTCAACACTGAAGTTTAATATATAGGCAAGGACCAACCCATCCCTTCTGGCATGGCTAAATCATAGTCCAGTAGCACCAGGTTAGCCCAGCATAATTGCTGGCCTGGCTTTGCATCTGTAATACGTACCACCAAACTGGTAGTCAAAGCAAAGAGCCTAGATTAGCAGGAAGCTGAGCCCTTCCCTAAGTATTGAGAGCTAGTGAGTGCAAGGCTACGAACCTTGCAGGCTTTGGACAGAGGTAGGGGAGAATTTGCTTTCTGGTACGTGAGATGGGACAAGAGTCATCTTAAAAGAGCTCTTTGTTCCTCTGTCATTTGGATCTCTTCAGAATTCCCTGTTGGCTCTATTAATCTCAGTAATTTTTTCTGTTTTTAGAAACTCCAGTCATATGACACTTTTTACATTTAACTTGTTCTTTGTTTACCTTTCAAACAAGAAAGTTTTAGTATTACCTAATATGCCTGGAATGCCAGATGGAAAATAGCTAAACTATTCACACCTAGTTTTAGGTGGTAGATTTGCCTCTTGGCTGAGCTGTTGGCCTATGAGAATAAGAGGGATTACATCAAAGATTATGGCCCACTATTTTATTTCCGCCAAATTCATGTGAAGATATTTCTTTCTTTTTTTTTTTCTGAGACAGAGTTTCACTCTTGTCACCCAGGCTGGAGTGCAATGGCACCATCTCGGCTCATTGCAACCTCTGCCTCCTGGGTTCAAGCAATTCTCCTGCCTCAGCCTCCCGAATAGCTGGGATTACAGGTGTTTGCCACCATGCTCAGCTAATTTTTTGTATTTTTAGTAGAGACAGGGTGTCACCATGTTGGCCAGGCTAGTCTCTCAACTGACCCCAGGTGATCCATCCACCTTGGCCTCCCAAAGTATAGGATTATGGCATGAGCCGCCACCACGCAGCTGTGAGGAAATTTCTTAACCCAGATTCTTCATGTTGAGGTTTAACATAAAGTGAAGATACTAAAGAAGAAACTGGGAGGGAAATGTAATACTGGAATTCCGGAGTAGAAGGGAGCCGTGAAGTCTGTATTTCTTCAGGTTCTTGATAGAGAGAACCATTCTATATAGGCTAGTGTAAGGATGGCCCTTCCTGGAAACAAAAGGATAAATGACATGAAGCTTCAACACAGCCATGTAATTTCTTGTTGACACCTAAGTGGCTTAAAAAGGAATTTAAATCTCAACGTTACAGTGAGGGGTTTCCCTGGGTCATTGCCGAAGCACTGGATTTTGCTTTGCCCTTGTCTTCATTTGGAGTAAAGCATGAGATTGCCTTCTGATGTCACTCAGGGATTCACAAAGTGCATCACATCACCATCTTTCCAGAGAGCTCTGAAGCAGCTGTCAGGTATCTTGCTGTGGACACTGAGTTTGAGAATTGACAAAGACTGGCACGCTTGTTTGGCAGTCTTAGATTTTTCCTTAGTTTAGTTAGCACATACACTAGAAGCTCTGATAATAATTCTCTGAAGAAACCATGAACTGCAGTTCTACCTCCTGTAAGAAGTGGATGATTGACTTATAAATGTAGTGGATTGTCATACTGGGTACTGTGTCACCAAATTAAACCAAGGATGGAATTAATAATAATTAGGAACTTCAGACTTGGAAGCACCATATTTTATGTATAATTCCCAAGGAACTCATCAGATTTTGGGGCTGAAAAGTGGCTAGGGCTTAGGAAATCACCTCTCCTGAGAGCACTTGAGTTGGGTTAGAGCCTCCAGAAGCATAGGGGGTCTAGTTTTCTCCTGTGACTAGTCCGGCAGTCACCCAAGGCCTTTTCTCTGGAGCACCTTTCTGAGAGGCCACGTACCCCTTCTGTCACATTTCTTAACCCTTCCTAACCCTAATTTCTGAATTAAGCTAATAAGCATGAAAGTTGTAATGGCATTGTTCCCTGGAAATTTTGAACTGCCGTGACTTTAAATTTTCAGATAGTAGTTGCATAGGTACTTAAGAAGCAGGTAGAACTGACGCATTTAAGGTTTGAGCCTAGAAGGGTTAGAAGGTTGGCAATATGAAAGCAGAGAATGTGTATACTTTCCCCTTTGCATCTTTAGACATCATAATGTTGTTGGGAACTGGCCTTTACCCTCAGAGTGAGGCCTAATGAAGCAAAATGGTTTCTGCCACCTGTGCCCACATACCCAAGGCAGAAAGGACAGTGTAAACTGGAAGTGTTTACGGTGACAGTTGAGCTTCAGCTCTGACCTCATCAGCCTCTCCTGGAGCCTTGTTGGAACACTGGGTGCAAATCCTTGAGGGCACAGGGGCAGACTTCCCAAGTGAAGCAAGCAGAAGTGCCCACTGGCCCTGAAGGGCAGGCTGCCCTGCTCCTCAGAAAGTCCAGTTGGGACCTCGCTGCTTTGCTCCCAGGTACCTGTGGCTCCACTTGGCCTGGAGGGCATCTGAAGGGGGATGTGGGGTTATTGTGTCTGCTCTCTGTGTTCAAAAGCTTTTGATCTGAATGTGCTGTTGTGTTTTTGTCTCTGGTTTGCCAGGGCCTGGGAGGAGTTTCATGGCCTGGTGAACAGCAGCGGCCGCTGATCGGACGCTCCCCCTCTGTCTCTCACACTCAGGGTAGGGCCTTGTCTATCTTCTCTGTAACCCTGTGACATACCTCTCATCCATAGGACCCTTCTTCCCAAGGGGATGCCCTCTTCCCATTTACCCCCAAACTTGCCTCTGCCACCATAGAGCCTCAGAGAAGAATGTGAGTCCCAAACCGCTGGATTCTTGTCCTCCCTGGGTCCCATGTCTCCTGGTGAACCCCTGAGCAGGCCACTTCACCTCATTATGCCCCTACTTTCTCTTCTGGAAAATGAGGCTCCATGGATGAACAAGTCTCTGAGCTCTCTTTTGATGCCAACATTTCATGATGGTAAAAATCTGCTGCAGATGGGTTTTCTTTTGCTCAAATGTGGCCATTTTTAAGCCATCTGGCAATGTCCTGTGACAAAAAGGGCAGTTCCACAGGCCCCAACATGAGTTACATGAGAGGTATGTCTCCTGTTTGCTGTTGTCATTTGTCAGTTGTGAGGAAACAGTAAAATAAATTCAGGGTTTCAGCAGTGTCAGTAGCAGGGGCTGGATTTCAGGGCTGTGTAAGTGACAATTCCAAGCTGTTCTTTCACTAGAGCAGCACAAGTGTACTGGCAGGGAGAGGCACAGAGATTCAAAGGCTGGGACAACTAAAGCATTGACTTTGGGAATATTTGTATTTCGGTCAGGAGAGTATCAAGTCCATGTTTGTCTTTGTAGCAGAGGGAGCTGGGTAAATCTATTCTGAATGAGAAGAATGGATGCAAGGCCAGTATCTGCGTGTGCTGGAGATGAGAGCCTTTTCCTGGACCTGAAACTACCCCTGCCACTACCATCCCTAAGAAACTGAGTATTTCCAAAATTGGAACAGAGCATGTTAACTGCAGTAGCTACCGCAAAATTCCCCCTTCCCAAGAAGGAGCTGAGGGTTTTCCAGAAAGGAGACCTGCATCCCTCACATGGACTAGAAGAGACAAGATGACACTGAGGGACAGCAGCAGGTGGCCAGGGGCCTGAGAGCTCTGGGTGTGGATACGATATACAGATAAAACACAGTTGCAGAGGTCCTGCACACACAAGTGATGCCACCCATACCTTTTTGTTCTGATAGTTTGATTTCTTTATTATAAATTCAGTCTTCTGGTGGTTTAAAATTTAAAAGGCTTGTCTTTAAAATATAGTCACCATTAGTGTCTGGTATCATGGCACATGCCTATTGTCTCAGCTACTTGGAGACAGAGGTGGGAGGATCACTTGAGCACAGGAGGTCAAGGCCAGCCTGGGCAACGTAGTGAGGCCCTGCTTCTAAATATATATGTGTATGTGTGTGTGCATATATATAAGTGTCTGTATATATAGGTATATATAATCAACATAGAATTCCAGGAGGGCTGCCAGTATACACAAGGAGGGAGGAACAAGGTACGAGCTCTAATAGTAGATAAATCATTGATTTGTAGGCTAAAAAATTATCAATATTTGAAATAAGATATTAAGTTAAATTTTCAGAAGCCTGGTGCTATAATGGAGTTGTTTTCAAAAAATACTACCATATTTAATTATTTCTAAGATTTTTTTGGCTTTTAATAATATTATTTTTTCAACCCTGTTCCTTCTCTAAGGCTTTGAATATTCTTTTTTTTTTTCTTTTATTTATTTATTTATTTTTTAATAAAGACAGGGTTTCACCATGTTGGTCAGGCTGGTCTTGAACTCCCAACCTCAGGTGATTCACCCGCCTTGGCTTCCAAAGTGCTTGGATTACAGGCATGAGCCACCGCGCCCGGCCTGAATATTCTTAAAATTGGGATGCTGGCCGGGCGCTGTGGCTCACGCCTGTAATACCAGCGCTTTGGGAGGCTGAGGTGGGCGGATTACGGGTCAAGAGATCTAAAAATACAAAAATTAGCTGGATGTGATGGTAGGTGCCTGTAGTCCCAGCTATCCAGGACACAGAGGTTGTGGTGAGCCAAGATTGTGCCACTGCACTCCAACCTGGCAACAGAATGAGACTCTGTCCCCACTCCCCACCCCAAAAAATAGGTTGCTTACAGTGAATGTGATTTAAAAGGGTTTTGTTATAGTCTAATGGGCATTGTTTACTTCTTAAAATACATAAAATATGTACATTTAAAAATTGACGGCATCTGAGTTTCAATGAAAAAAAAGTTTTTAAAATGAAAGTGGAATGGTCAGAATGGAAGAAAACTTAAAATGGCTTCCTCCCCTCTTGGCAGACACTAATCCCCCAGGAAAAATATCTTCGAATTGCTGTAAAAAGCCATATATTTGCATAATTGCCATTTTGTGGTCTCTTTGTGGCCCCTCATATCTTTTTCATACAGTGTGGGAGGCAGATGAAGAGAACACCCATGGTTTAGGTATTTTCCTTAAAGCACAGGCTAGGAAGTCCATGAGGAGTGTTTGAATTTAAACCAAAATTCTGAAAATAGGGGAAAAAATGAATTTTTAAAAATCCAGTCACTTCATTGTCATAATAGACTTGAAAAGGACTTCACGTTCCATCTCTTGATTTAACCTCACTGTAAGTGAAAGGGATGTTCTGAGAAGATCTGCATGCCTAGCTTATGTTTGTTGGGTCTGCCATTTTAAAGGCCCCTTAACATTTTAGCCCTCTTTCCCTCTCTCCCTTTTCTTTTTCCTCCAAATAGATCATGATCTCTAAAGAAATTTGGTAGAAAAACTGCTATTTAAATAATTCTTCATGAATCTTAAATGCTTTTCCTGAATTTATCTGCTATTTTATGTAATTACATATGATTGCTAGTATTTTAGGACAATTTCATTTGACTTCTGTTGCAAATAAGTATTACCCTTTTAACTGTGACCTCAGTAAAAGTCTCAGTGAGCTGCTCGGAAAGGATTCTGATTACTTAGCCGTCTGGGCTGCTATACACAGAACAGTGAATCTATATTATTGGGAAATGAAATTGGAATAAAATAAAGTTGAAGAGGAGAGACTGGAATTTGCCTCACTGAAACTTAGAAAGAGTTTGCAGCATTACCAAATATGCAGGGAGAGAAGAGGAAGCCAGAACTGGCCTGGGGTGGACAGTTGATAGCCAAAGAACGTTCTACTGAAGACCATATGCACTGAGGTCTACGCCACCCCCTCAGAGCCACTCTTCAGAGCAGAGACATAGGTAGCGTTCCTCCTTGAATGACTCCCAGCTTTCACTTGAGAACCCAGAATCACTCAGGTGCCCTCGCCAGGCACCAGCACAGTGGCAGGTAACTCCAAGAGAGGGGAGGCATTCTGAGTGACCGCTTTGCCCCTCTGTTGTCCATTTTCAGGAATTAATCTCTGTCTTAGCTCATTATTTCCAGAGTTGGAACTTGTCCATTTCTCAAAAGTACTAAAAGGTGACCATTTTGAGGTAGAGCAGATTAGAAAGCTGTTTCCGAGTATTTGGACAGCGATTTTCCCCATGATACCTGGGTATGTGAAGTTGGAAGCCATTCTGAATGGGGCTCTTGGATGTTTCTGAGACATCATCAGGACAAAGGAATACGCAGTAGAGAAAGAATTCTTTGATTTCTTCCAGCATTGTGGGATTGTCAGCCTCTGTGTCCTCTTTGGCATCCTAAGCATAGCCCATGCACTATCACAGCTTCGCCAGATTGCTAGAGGGCTAGCTTTCAGGAGCTCACTATGGATTTGCTCAATTTTAGTTTGCTTTTAAAAGAACAGAAGCACATTGTTTTTTAAAGGGTCACCTGTGGCCTCTGCCCCTTCCTGTCTACATTCTCCCTTTCCCTGCCTCCTAATCTCTCTGTGCCCTGAGCCCAGGGTGAGGGGTGTGATGGAGTATCACTTCCCAGCCGGCCTGAGGTGAACACATTCCTCAGACTAAATTTGGCATCAGGCTGCTCTCAACCCACTTTTTTAAAGGCCGGACCAAAGCCATAGGGCCTCACTGCCACCAGCCTGTGTTAGCCTGTCACTGTCAGGAGCAGGCCACCCCTACTTGCTGTTTTGTTTTCCTCCTAAATCAAACTGGAAAAACTCAGCTGGATTCTCCTGCCTTTTCCTTTACTTTTCTCCCCCTTTTCACTTTGCTAATGGACCTCAGAATTATATGACTTCTTAGGTTTTCTGACTATAAAGTGGTCTATAATAACAAAAATACTAAATATCTGAATGAGAAAGTGTATTTAGAGCGCTCCAGTTTATCTGCTACAGAGTAAGAATTTATTTCTGGCCCACCTAACACAGTAGAGGAATTCCAGAAGATAAGATGGCCTGCTTTTGGTAATGATTACCCTGAAAAATCCTCTTTCCATCACTAAACAGCTGAAAGAGTTGAAGCCAGACACTTGGCTGCCATCTCCATCACTCCAATATGGAGAATTCTCCAAGTCAGCACATCTCTGCTCCTGCCTTCCCATAGCCCTGCCTTTCTAGTCCCTCTTTTATTTTTTATTTTTTTTTTAAAGATGGGGTTTCACCATGTTGGCCAGATTGGTCTCAAACTCCTGACCTCAGGTGATCCGCCCACCTTGGCCTCCCAGACTGCTAGGATTACAGGAGTGAGCCACCACGTTCAGCCTCTCATCCATCTTTGCAGAAGAAGAGTGGAATCCCTACTGATAGACTTCTGGTGTCCAGTGATTAGATGGGCATAGGGGTGCCAGTAAAAAGGAAGAAATGGAATGGAGCCATCTGCTCTGGTGTAATCACTTTAGTATTAAGTTTAGGTATAAAAAAAGTGTCTTTTGTAATGCACTCTCTGTAACACAGTACATTGTCCCTAAGAGAACTCAGAAATCAAACACACACATCAGTTATGCTTGCTTTTCTCTGTGTTATGATCAGATATGTTCCTTATCCTTTGCTAGCTACTTGTGGCATCTTAGAGGGGTCTGTCCTTTTGAAAGGAGTTTTTTAGCTGGGTGCTGGCTCACACCTGTAATCCCAGCTCTTAGCGAGGCAGAGGCGGGAGGATAGCTTGAGACCAGGAGTTCGTGACCTGCCTGGGCAATATAGTGAGACCCCATTCTCCACAAAAAGGAAAAAAAACCAAAAAGACAAAAGAATAATAACAATAAGCGTGAAAGGAGTTTTAAAAAAAATATCATTGGCCTTTTAAAAAGATGACCATCCTATTAACTTTATTTTCAACTTTCAGGTCTTTAGTTGAAAATAGTTGAAGTGCTAAGTAGCCATTGATAAATGAACCACATGGTCATGCATGTCAGCTATAAAATACCAGTGGACTTTTGAGATAGGATCAGTTTCTTCCCAGCCCAAGTTTGCTTATACCAGCTCCAGTTTCCCATCTCAGTTCTTGTCTGGAGTCATCCTCTTTGTGTAGTGGGGGTCATTGGTCACTGTCAGCTGACCGTCATCATGGAGAAAGATTTGTTAGCCAGTAACAGAAAGAAACTGCTGTTTGGCTGGGCTGAGCATATTCTTTCCTTAGTACATATTTACTCTGAACCAATTACCATATATCCCGTTAATTATAACAATTTTAAGATAGGTCAGGCTGGGCTTGTAATCCCAGCACTTTGGGAGTCCATGGCAGGAGGGTCACTTGTGCCCAAGAGTTCAAGACCAACCTGGGCAACATAGTGAGATACTATCTTAAAAAAAAAAAAAAAAAAAAGTCAAAGCCAGAGCATCTAGAATGTCCCTTCAAAATCAAAGGGAAATAGTGACTCCAAATCCAGGCAAAAATTTCTGACAAATTGAAGTCCAAATCACTGGGCAAGGGCAGCAACTGGTGGCCTTTAAAGTCCCTGCCAGCTCTGAAATTTTGAGATTCATATGGTGACAGGACCTGCTAAGATGTCATTAGATTTCTAGTGTGGAACAGGAAGGGTCACTAGTGGCTGGCCAAGCCTGTCTATATCCAATAAAAGGCAACTAAGAGAACACATACTGAGATACCCCACATACATACCCCCCCACACACTTTCAAGAAGTAGAGCCATGTTTCTAAAGTAAGATAAAGTGAAAGGTACCCAGATTTTGCCTCCTAGAATATCCTTTCCTTCTGTAAGCAGCTCTAAGCTTTAAACTCAGAATTTTTATTTGGTTGATTGGTTGGGTTTTTTGTTCATATAAGATAACCACCTGGTTCAGTTTTTTCAAAAGTGTGTGTTAGAGAAAAAGAAGGGGAGAGAAAGAGAATGTCTCCTGAGGCTTCCTCCGTCTGCCCGGTTACTAGTGTGCCCCTTCCACCTCCACTGCCCCAGGTAGCCACTGTTGTTGGTTTCCAGTGTAGCCTTGCAAAGTTTCGTAACATATATGTTAGCAAATATGAACCTATAACCTTGTTTCTCTACCCCCACTTACACAGGTAGCATACCGTGTGTACACACTGCACCTTAAGCTATCAGTTTATCTTGGAGCCCTTTGCACAGCAAAGTAGAGAGCTTCCTTGTTTTATTTCTATGAATGTGCCGTAGCATTAATATTTAACCACTCCCCTCTTGATCTGCATTTGAATTGTTTCTAATCTTTTTCTGTTGCAAAAAATTGAATCGAAGTTGTACAAGGGACTTGGGAGGTGGGTTGCCATTTTGGCATTAGATTGACAAGTGAAGCAGGTCCCAGGATATGTCATAGAGACCCTGAGGGTTGACGAATCAGTTTTCTCCCTGTGTATGTGTAGTTCTGTATAGATGATCCTTGTATTGAACACTCTATTTTCTCTCATTTTTTTCTTGCAGGGACAATTCAAGCTTTCGAAATACAAAAATCACATTGTGAAAGTACACAAGCTGGCAATAATCCTTTTCTGTATGTGTGTATTTGTCCGAAATGGATGGGAGGCCTCCAGCCAGTCCTTCCATTGCTCACTGAAGGGACGTCCCTGAGCCGTGTGCTCCCCTTTTGCACTCATTCCTGGAGGACGGATTCCGCTAGACACCCTCCAGCATCGCTGACTTTATAAAGCGGAAAAATGGAAAACGTGACTTTGTAATAGACAAACATTGTTTTTTAACGGGGTTCCGTGGGGGGGCGTTCAGCCTTTCTATTCGCTGTGTGCTGTCCAGATGCCTCTCGGGCGTCCTGGTGTTCTCTTCCTGTGCTGTCCGAAGGGTACCGTGACCACGTGTACATGCCAGAGCTGTTGATGAGAGTAACCAGTATTATGAATGTCTGTGCATCCAGGAAAAGCATTCTTTTGAGAGTCCTAGAATAGCTGTAAATGCTCTCTTCTAGCTCTGCCATTAAATTATTGGGACATTTTGTTTCTTTCTCTCCCCTCCTCCAAGCCCACCACTTTCTGAAGCTGTGTTACTGATATGATGACTGTCCAGGATTTTGTATCATCTCCTGCCTTATTCCCTCCGTTCTCCTCTCCTGTGGGACTCTTTCCTGCTTAGGCACTGCTGCACTTAGAATTGTAATCCAGTGGCTCTTACTGGTTTCACTGAGGCAGCTTAGAGAGAATGCCCTAGAAAACTAAGCTGGAGTAGAAGCCAGTTTGATTAGGAGCTAGGTTATAACATAGGTTCCAAGTACAGAATTTGGAGCTGAGGGCAGGGACTGAAACCATTTTCCTGTATGAGCAGAGCCTATGTGTCAAGCCTGTTTCTGACATGTCCCTCATTGAGGAAGAGAAGCAAAAGCTGGTTATTGCCAGGCCTATTAACACTTAATATGCAAATTCTATCATCCTGAAACTGGGACATCTGAAGAAAAGGTGACCTTGCTGGGTGGCTTTATTTGCATGGTTCTGCCTGTCTGCAGTGGTTGAGTCCTCATCACCTGGTATGTGTATGAGCAAATGTGTGCTGATCCGTGATGCCCAGGCAGAAACCTCTTGAAGACTACTGCAGGCATGCTTTAAAAAGGACCAGTCACTCATCAGAGAAGGTGGGTGATCTGACTCCAGAAGGACTGAAGTCAGAGAGGTCAAAAGAGCAGCTAGGATTCAAATAAATTGAGTAAGAATCCTATAGCAACCTCCAAGTAGCACTGTCTTACTTGGCTCTTGTGAGCAAAGATTGTAGTACCTTAAATTAAGGCCTCTCTTTAAAACATATCCTTGAAGACTAGGGGATGCTTGGTCACCTGGTCTCGGAGAAATCATATGAGAGTAACAGGCATTTCCTTATTGTGTTTATATTACTCTCTTGCTATTTTTCCATTCCTGAACACCCTCTAGTTACCACTGTTGTGGGATGCTTTTTTCCTGAAAGAACAGTGAGTACAGGGGCCAAAAGGGAGGTGCTTCTATTATAGGTAAAGTTAGATCAGATAAGAAGATCTAGCAGTGATTTAAACTCCAGGAACATGAAGAATGCATTCTGGTGTCCAGACAATTGTGAAGGGCTCAGGCAAATATAAGAGCACCATTGGCTACATGCGGAGCAAAGGCTGCCTCCTGAGATTTGTTTAGACCCCAGGGAGGTCTTCACTTTTGCCTAAACTCAAATTTGCCATGAAAATTCCAAAGAGCAGATACTTGGATTTGCCCTCGTTTGGGCATCTGCCTGACTGTTGTGTGTGTGGGGAAGTCGGTGTGTATGTGTACAGTGTGCTTAGGCGTGAGTGGCCAGGCCTACTGGTTAGGTGTGTTGTCTGTAGTTTTTTGTTTTTGTTTTGGTTTTGGTTCAGATTTTTGAATCTTATGTTTTCTAGAGCTGCTCATGTTTCCCCTTCCTCTTTGTTGTTATAGTATTTGAAGTTGTCTTTTCCATCAAAAACATACCCTATGCTGGTTAGAGCAAGAGGTCATGCCAGTTAGGCAGCATCTTATGCCCAGTGTTCTCCCAGATATTCTGCCTAACAGGTTTCAGTGGGAGATTAAATCGTCAGTTTATCTAACCATCTATTTTTCCAAACTAGCCTGAGAGATCTTTTCATCTATTTTTACCCCCTGGGCCTCTGATATGCTGAGATGTGACGTGGTTATGGTTATGGTATCACCTGTTATAGAGACAAAGGGAAAAAGGTCTGCCAGGGCCAAAATAACCAGAATGTTACGTTGCCACCGGAGAGTGTAGGATCGGTCTCCACTTTGCAGTTAGGGCTGTTCTCTTCTAACCCCTTTGCTGGGTTTTCTGTTTGAAATTGGCCCTTACTCCTCTCCAGTGCTCTGCCTTTGAATCCTTCTGCTCCCACATGTGCGTGCCCTGTGATACTGGCAGTGGCAATAATTTTCCACCCAGAGAGAAGCTTGTGGTCCACAGTGCTCAAAGAATGAATTTCCAAGTATTTGCCAGTGGAAACGGAGCAGAGGCTATGACAAGAGTGATATAGTGTTGCACTTTCAGAGCAAGTATCTACTGCAGTAATAAATGGAAAATATCAGCAAGAACCAGGTCGTGGACTTGTCAATACAAGGGAAGCGGGGGTTCTGTCACTAACTCTACCCTTCAGTGTATGAGTCTCCATCTTCACTGCATTCCAAAACAAGATATGTGGAATAGTCCAGGCAATGGCAATGTTAGTACACAGATTTGTGAGAATATTCTCTGATTGGTATTAATCATTGCCACAACTCAATTTACATTTTCATTATCAAAATACAGTTGGTAACTCTCCTTAACTTGGGGTAAGGAATATTGAAATAGAAGAAAGTTTAAAGAATTTGATTTTGATGTAAGAAATCAGTCGGCCTGAGCTTGAATGTTTTAGTTATATTAAGTAGCTTAGCCTAAAGAGGGACACATGGGGCATGCCAATGGCTGGTGCCCACATGAAATACCGAGGGATGAAGAGGCTTTGTTGAGCCTCAGTTATTGTTGACAAAGAATTTAAAACAATACAGTCTTGAGACAGTATCTGTAGATAGAAATCTCCTGTGTGTCAGTCATAGTCCAAATAGGAGACAGAAATGATGCCAGTTGTTTCAACAATGTGATAAAAAGAATTACTGACACAGTAATCAAAAAAGCAAGAAACCCACACAAGAATTAAGGAAGGAGCAATTTCCAGAAGCACCCTAAGGATGGGTGTTGCTCACCTGTTGCTAGGTCTTTGAGGCCATCATGAAGCTGGTTCTGAGCAGGTCAGAAATGGTAACTGAAATCACCCACAGCTGTGGGAACAAACCGCTGCAGCAATGCTGACAGGAACGGGAAGGAGCGCACCCCTTTTGCAGTGTGGAAGCTTCCCTCGAGTGCACCCTACTGCAAGAATCCAACAGGATGCCAGCTGGCAAAGCAGAGATGTTTGCAGAGTTCTATCCCTGCTTTCACAAAAGCAGAGCTAAAAAGAGCTGATGCGGAACTGAGGGACAAGAGCTTTGTAACTGGCACAAGCCCCTGTTAGCCATTCAGCATCTGTGCACAGCCTTCTACGCCTTTCAACTTCTGTCCTACCACAAAAGCAATTCTTTGTGCCCAAGAAGGTGTTATTAATTGGAAGCTGTTACCCTCTCCCAAAAAGGACGTGTAAAGCCCATGAGTCACTGTCAATCTCTGAGCTGTGTTGACTCTTCGAAGTCAGTTTCAATTCCATCTGAGTAGAATACAGAACAAGAGAATGGTGCCTAAATACTAAGAGTAAAGTTTACTTCCAACAAAAGTTGCATGAAATAATGAGTCGGGGAGAGAAGCAAATTGTACACACAACAAGCAAGGATGTGTACGTCGTCTGTAGCAATCATGAGGCTGTAGGTGATGGATCGCTTCCTCCTCCACTGCCTGTTCTGTATTTCCTTTGCCCTCAGCCAGGATCTCCACTGGTCAGGATTCGTTTTTGGTATGGTTGATCCAAGCCTTTATTCCTAGGGTGTCTGAATTAGTAGTTGTTCCTTTGTTACAGTTTTTCATTTTTGCTGTTTGTAAGAGGGACCCAGAAAATTCTGGGTCCTGGACAGTTCTCCCTGCCCCTAGGATGTAGCAG